AGTTTAGCATACACTCATCAATTAATGTTATAGCATAGTTTATATATAGAAATGTGTATGAATATATGTAAATATTGACTTTAATAAAGTTTGCTAAGCAAGGTTAAACTAGTTTAAAAAAAAAAAATCAAAATCAAAATCAAAATAAAATTATATTATTAACAAATTAACTAATCACTATATCAATAAAAATATTAACAAAAATATCAATAATTATAATAATAAATTATAATTTAAATATTATATCAATAATACTATTATTTATTTAAACAGTAATCTAACTATTTTTGAAAATAATATCTTATTTCTATTAAATAAAATAAATTAATATAATATATTTAATTCAAAGTATTCTTTATATTATATAATAATTGGATTTTTTTATATTACATATAATAAAATAAATAATTTAATCTTATTTTACTTATTTTTTATTAAATTATTTATTAAATTATTTTTAGTAGCAATATATATATATATATTTTTCAATCAAGTTATTTATTTATTAAATCAAAATAAACCATTACAATTGAAAGTTAAATGTATAAATTTTCTCGATCCAGCTTATCTGTCTGTAATATAAAGTCTCTAAATATAATTTATAAGATAATATATTACTTATCCATTAATTAGAATTAAAATCCCATTTGTTTAATAAAGTCAATATCTGCAGATCATCTTTATAAATATTTTTAGTAGTAATATATATTTATTTATTTATAGCATATAAAATATAAATTAAATAATTTAAAAGACTTAAATAGCTTATAAGATTTAAAAGAGTTATAAAACTACATAATCTATAAAATTATAATATTACAATATATAAATTAAATAATTTAAGCAATTCAAATAACTTAAGTATCCTATAAAAAAAATCATTATATAAGTAGTTATTATTTATATAATTTTTCAAAAAGTCTATAAGTCAATTAGTTTAAAATAATTTACTTTTATAATTATTTGAAATTCTGTTTTTATGTTTTAATAAATTATTATTATTTTTTTTTTTGGGTTATTCCAGTAGGTAAATATCATCTCTTTATTTGATTTATATATATCAAGGTATACATCATGAAAGAAACAACATCTCTTGGGTGTATTGCATACAACAAATTAAATACTAGCTTGCCTACTTGTACCATATTTAACTAATATCATAAAAAATTTCAAAAGCAATATTAAAATGTCAAATATGAAAGTAGCGGCTATGCCTACCTACTTAAAAAGTTGTTTGATAAAATCTTTTTTTTGAATAAAATAAATTGAAAAAAAAAAATTAAAAGTAACTAAAACTAAAACTTCGTCAAGTAAACTATAAGATCTATAAGTAGAAAACCAATTATTTCCCTGAGAGAATCTCCAGACAGGCTCGTTGTTCCATTTCTTTGGCTCTTTAGTTACCATAGATAGTAGAGTACACATGATGTTGTTTTTTGTTAAAGTTGTTGTTGTGATACAAAACCAGTTTGAGCTGACACAGTTTTTGTTTTGATTTTTATGCAAAATCTGATTAGATGATTGGAGAGCACTAATCATTTGGAGAGGGTAAACTGATTTCAGTTTTTTGTTTGAAAAATTTTTGAACTTTTGAAGTGGCACAGCTAATATTGCTACGAGAATATTATATATAAGGGTTGACTTGAAACAAACAGTAAACCCACTAACTCTATTTGAGTGTATGTTTTGAAAAGTATTTGACTTAGTGAGTATGATGGTAATGATGTGGATGATTTTTATGATATAATAAGGATAAGGAGAGATGCAAGAGAACTGAAGAAAAAAGAATTGTCATGAGCTTTTCCTCATACAACTGAAGAATAAGCAAGACTTCCAAACTTGAATAGACTTTAACCAGAGGTCCCATCCTACTGCACTAGTTGTCTTGAAGATTCTTGAGTTTCTGAACTGGGGCTCACTTGTGATAAAGAGAGTAAAACATTTTTTCTTGCTTAAAATTATCATAAAAGAAAAATTTTTAACAAAACGGACGTAATCAGAAGAGAGTTTTTTATTTATATATATTATTTTTGTTTATAATTTATAACAGTAATATTAAAATTTCTTTATAACAAAGCTATATTAAATTTAATTTATATGTACTTTATATATTTAAAATTTAAATCAAATTAAATTAATTAAAATCTAAACAGGTTTGATTTATTATAATTTTTATTAGCAATTAATACTTAAAATTATTGGTTAAATATTAATATTTTAATAAAAATATAATATTGGCAATTGATATTTAATAAAAAAATTCTAAATTAATATTGATATTTTAAAATAATAAAATAATCAAAAATATAATAATTATATATATTTTTAAATAAAATAAAAATAAATAAAGTCAATAAAAAATTGTTTTTAAAAAAAGGTATTAATTAAATTTTATTTAATCAAATCAAATTAAATCAAATTAAATAGAATATAAATCGAATCAGATCAAATTGAATCTAAATTGAATATAAATCAAATTAAATCAAATAAATTAAAATTAAAATAAATTTGAACTAAAGCAAATTTGAACTAAAGCAAATTCAATCTTTTTAAATTTGATTCAAATTCAAATCATGTATTTAAAAATCAAATCAAATCAAATCAAATTTAAATAAAATTTGACTTTATTCAATTTATTATAATTTCTAATTAATATACAGTTGAGGACAAATCTTTTTGCCTTTTTTTATTTCATAATAAATTAACATTTATACATATTAACCAATCATGAAATGATAACGATAAACACGTGAGATTATCTAATTATGTTGCAAAATATTTAATACAGAATTCCTTCACCCCCTCCTTCAATAATAAGCTCACATCATCTCCTTATAGATCCAACCAAATTCTTTATAACATAATTTGAAATATTTACCCACTCCTCGACCATAAAACTTTTTAATTCCATAAGATTTTTTGGCTGTCACTTCTCCACACCCCTCTTGACTATACCCCAGAGATTTTTGATAGGGTTAAGATCTGAACTGTTGGAAGGCCAGTCAATAACCTTGGATATATTAATTTCCAAGTATTTAGTCACTATTTTGCATGTATGCTTTGGATTATTGTCTTGTTGAAAATGTCAAACACATCCTAGCATTCGTAAAATCTCTGATAAGTTTTTCTAAATGATTTTGACATAATAAGAACCTGTTATTATTTGTTGGAAGCAAAAAAGATTTGATTTCCCTTTCACGCAAAATCCACCCCAAACAAAAATTTTTATTCTGTCTTTTGGAATATGATGTATTGGCCAGGCCCCCTTATACCACTGTTTTATTATATTTCGGAATAACTGAAAATATGTTTCATCAGAAAAAAATGGTTTCTTCCAGTAATCACTAAAGTGAGCTTGAGCCCATTTCACTTGATTTTTTTTATGTTTATCTGTAAGCATTGGAGTAGCTAATGGCAAATTGTTTTTATACTCCAGATAATCCAAATATTTCAAAACTGTTCTATAGGACACGTAAGTATCTATTTCAGTTAATTTTATTACTATTTTCCAGGAAGAGATAGAAGAATTATGCCATACATATTGATTAATCATCTTAGAAACTCTTGATATTATTTTTTTAGGATGCTTATCACCTTTTCTTCATTTGACATTTCTTATTTCTTTTAATTTTTTGATATTATATTTGATAGTTTTTAGTGGAATACTGGTTTTTAAATAAAGTTCTTGAGGGCTATATATCCCATTGTTCTAGAAATGTAAAAGAGTTCCAAGATATGTTTTGTTATTTGGCGAAAACATTTTAAATTTTATTTTTCAGTGAAGTAGGTGGGAAATAATAGTATAAAAGAAATGTAAAGATATCGTAATGGTGTGAGTTTATGATAACATAATTTGTTTATTATTTATTTTTTAAAAAAAAAAATCACATGAATTTTTATCACATGAATTATGAGAGCAAAAAGTTTTGTCCCAAACTATATATAAATCTATTGATTAAAAATATTATAACTATAGAAATCTTTACAAAAATTTTATAAAATAAAATAAAAGAAAAAGCAAGTAATTAGAAATATAACATAATCAAGATTTTGCCAAGATGAACTGTAGTAATGATGAACTCAAATTCTTTCAAAAATGGAAGAAATAAGCAAGTAACTTTATTTATCTTCAAAATTATTCTTGTATTAGTATGTTTTCAACTTCAATAATTAAATAAATATAATAAATACTTGTTTGATTGAGATAATTACTATATAAAAAAAGATCTAAAAGGTCAAACCCACTTATATAATCTAATCTCGAGGTTTTTGCATTCACGTGTTCACATCTTAACCAATAAAATTGTTATTATATATACAGTATATAGGATCGGCATTAATTGTCAATTCTTTTTTACGCGTCGCGTATGATTGACTTAGCTAAGTATGATTCTGTATTTGTATTTCTTTCAAACCCGGCGTTTCCCCGACCTGTAAAACCTGAGGGGTACGTCTGCCTCTGGAGTTGTTGGCGAAATGGCCTGATGGCAATTTTCAAAGGATATTATAAGGATCTGGTTTTCTAAATCCAGTGTTTCCCCGACCTGTAAAACCTGAGGGGTACGTCTGCCTCTGGTGTTGTTGGCGAAACAGCTATATACTGTGCCGATCTTGTAATTACCTGAGAAAGTTTCGGGTTAAAAAAATTTTTGGAATACTGTCCGTATCCGCGATGAGAAAAATAAAACCCGATGTGTTGAAAGTATATTGAAAGAAAAAGAAGTTAGTATAAATGAACTGTCTGCATGCTTAGCAAAATCGTTATTTATAACTTGCTTATTCAAATAATCTATGTTCAAGAAACTTGTCAGATAAAATCTAATGTATTAGACGAACATGTCATTGAAAGCAATCTTTTATTAAAAAGAAAACAACAAATTTCGGAAGAATTTTCAACACCTCCAAATAAGGTTAGTATATAATTGAATTTAATCTAACAAGGAACATTCTTAAGGAAAAATCTTACCTTCTTTCTAATGCATAGATCAGGACTCTTGAAAATGGAGCCTGAGGTAAATAATTTTGATGACAGTCAAAGTTATACAGGTGAAATATGAATACATTTTTACAATTCCTTTTAAAAGGGAGAACGTTCTTCGACTGAGATTGGTAGCAAATCACCTATTGAACCTAATTCGGAATTGAACAATACATCAAATGAAGATATCACACAGGTATTTTAGAATTAGTTATTTTATATTTATAGCAATTATATAAATCTGAAATGCCTTTATAACTTGTTTTCCTTAGGAAGAACCTATGAGACGGTATAGTTTTAGAGAACGAAAAGAGATAAATTATGGCGACATTTCAAGCTCAGACTTAGATCCATATCATGTAATTATTCTTGTTATTAAAGCATAATAAATATACAATTCTCATTATTTTTTCTTATTTTGTTTTGAAATATATCAAGCATCAAGCATTTGAATATGATATGATATCTTGACCGACAACCTGGATAATTTGGTTGCATCATTAAATAGGCCAATCATATTGGAAACGACATATAACTTGATTTCTGTGCATATAATCTGTGCATTCAACTCCACGTTACATTTAATCAAGGAAACTGTTGAGGAAATCTTATTTGAAAATATCGAAAAGTTTCTTAAAATGAGAAATAATTTGATTTTAGACAAATCAATAATCCTAAAATTGGAGGCAATTTTCCAGGCGGGCCATTCGGAAATTATTTCGAAAATAATAACCGAAACTGAGGTTAAAAAAACATGAAGGAGAGTGAGGAATCACGATTTCTATTTTTTATCCGGCACACCCTTATAGATTTCGTTGCAATATTTGAATATATATCACCCAAAGTGTTAGCTCGAGATATGTCCGAAAGGTCTTATATTGTTGAATGCCTTTTGCCAATATTTCGATCTTTTAGGAATGCATTTCCCGAAGTTAGATACGAATGGATTGAGAAAGATGTCAAATCCTTAAAGGATGCCGGCAATATGTTTGCAATTAACGTAAGGGCTCGGATAACTGATCTGTTGATCATGAGGCTGTCTGATGGCAGGGAAATTCTACACATCGAAGAGTCCGGACCACCCTACAAACCAGAAAAGCAACATACAGTTGGAGACGCAAAAAAATTACTCATGATGGCCGTTTGTAATTTATGTAGAATACTAGCAAATAATTTTTATTGCCCGCTTGATGATGCCAAAAAAGTTAAATCATATAGTATTCAGGCAATTGGAGATCGATTAACATTATTTTCCGTATCGCTTGTTGACAAGAAAAAATATTTGGCCATCGAATTGGCCTCGTGCATGATTCCCTTTTCGATTAGAACCATTGGATACTACAAACAAATCTTTAATTTTTTCAAGATCATAAGGAATGAATTTATCGAACAAGAACTTTTAGAAAAAATTAGTTATTTTATGCCCTTGGCCAATAATGATGCCAATAACCTACGAGAGTGGATACATTTACCAGACGATGATCTAATACCCGTAACGGAAGAGGAAATAGATGAGCTCTCTTTAAATCATAATTAATAAAATTAAGAATTGACTAGAATGACATCTTTATTATATAATTGAATAGGAACTTTCTCTTTGTTGTGAATCATTGAATTTAATCCCGGTACATGGTCCCATATTTTTTAGTCGCATGATTGCGGTTTTGATCATAATAAATAGGTTTATTCGAACCAGATCTGACTGATTGTTATTATTAGTCACAATAAAATTGATCATTACAGTGGCCAGCATAAATAACGCGTCACTTGATAAAAAAATTTCAAATCTTGTTTTTTTTCGTTTAAAGATCACATGATAATTTAAAAAATTTTGTTCATTTTAAACAAAGGCAAGATAAATGTTTTGATTTTTTTCGAAAATAATAATTATAATTTATTTTGTTATATATTTAAGTTTTCTTGTCTAATCAATATTAATTTTTTTTCAATAATATCACATAAGTTTAGAGAAACATTTGAATTGATCTATTTATTTTTCAAGAATAATTAATTAGAAAAGTTGTTATTCAAGAAAATTTAATTATTGATCAATATAATTAATATTTTAAAATATTTAATTCTTTTATTTTTTTAAAAATTATTTGCTTTATATAATTTATAAATATTTAATATTGTTCAAGTGTAAAATAAACTTTTGAACTAAAAAAAAAAAAAAAAAACTCACCCATTCACCACTGATTTCTTGAAAATTTCCTTATATAATAATTTTCTTGAAAGAAGCGCTTTCCTCTCTCTCTTCAATATGCCAACTATGCCATAAGCTCAAGGACATAAGGAC